TTATATTCCTTTTAATGAAATAGAAATCGATAATTTCTTTCATGTTACATTATTTTGTTTGAAAAAAAATTACAATTTTGAAAAAAAAAATTTTTTGTTGAAAACAAATTTACAGCTTTTCAATATTTTTAATTTTTTTTGATGAAGTCGAAATCGATAATTTCTTTCATATTATATTATTTTGTTTGAAACAAAATCCTGAAGTTTAAAGATCAAAAAAATTGTATGCAACAATATTGACAGTTTTATAATAATAAAAATATGAATATGTAACTTTCTTGGTATTTTCACATATTTTCTTTATGAAATATTTTATTTTTCTTTAAACAATTTTTTATTGGTTAAAACACATTCAACAGAAAACTAATAATGAGTAAAATATGTAAATGTAATTGTCTTTAAATCAGTTCGACACACGTTTTAACTGGAGCAAATACCTGTAGTGACCTGCAGATGACAAGCGTAGGTAAACATTTTCTCAACAATATTATTAACAGAGTAATAACGTGGTTTTCAACCTGTATGCATTATTTGGAATCATTAACAGCATTTATGCAAACTGAAGCACTCGTTTTTGGAGCGGCTTATTTGTGAAAATGTTTACTTAACGGTATTTAGTTTCAGAATTCATCTACTTTTGACTTAAGGAAAGTCGAATACATTTTCTTTTTAATTTGCATTAATTTCTTTGCATTGAACTTTCTTCACATTGAAATTGTTTTGTTGAATTACAGTCAAACTATAATTTTTGCAAAAAACTCAGTTACAATATTGTTTAGCACTGCCTGTTTTCATTTCGGCTCGCACTTGCCATGCTATTGTTTTATAATTTTTTAGGCTTTTGTATAATACAGCAATACTATTAATTTAACGCTACACGTTGGCTTTTGCTGCTTCATTACTTGTATTTATTAATTTTTTTGTGTTTCTTTATTAGCATCTTATAATAAACTGCTCTGCACACTGCTTTTGCTTTCATTTATTTTATTTTGTTTTTGGTTTTGGTTTTCAGGGCTATAAAAGTAGTTTTCTAGTTTTATGCGCTGCTGTTGTGTGTGTGTGTGAGTGTGCGCAGATTGTGTATTTGATTGCATACATTATTAATTATGTATTAATAATCGTAATTATTTACATCTATTTCAATTTGTTTGTAATATATTTATGCAATGCATATGGAAAATATGTATGTACTCGCATATAAAAAAATTATTAATTTAAAACAAACAATGCACTGTATACAAGTGTCTGAATGCGCGCCGCATTTTCACGCAACCTTAAACCCCGTTTTGTTTTATTTGATTTCAAATGCTAATTTTATTTAATTTTTACACATATTAAATTCTGAGGTGTGAGAGCATTCGATTTCTGTTTTTGTTTTTTGTTTTTTACTGCATTTTCTGTATGTATGTATTAACAATTCTTATTAACTATATATGCTGTCTCTTATACACATCTAGATGTGTATAAGAGACAGATAATAATTATATATATATATTTATTTTAAATTTCTTCAATTAATATATTTTAAAATTTTAGGCAAAGTCATTAAATAACTCGATAAGACCCTCCGTTTGATCCAGTGAGAAGTTGTAGTCAACATCTAGCGGTGGTTCGATGGGTAGGAACGGTGGCAGATCATCAAAGTCTATGGTGTGGTGTGCGGCAGTCAAAGGCGGCAGATGAAATGAAAGTACGAAAAAGAGAAATATGCTCTTTAATATGCTGTACGGTAGTTCTTTTTAATTATATTAGAATTAATAGCGACGATTTGTTTTATTAAATATGGTGTGTTTTAATTTTAATATTGTTCATTTGGATTAGTAACGCTTTTACAATTATTT